ATAACAAAATTAATGGGTCAGATGTTATAATTAATTATTATAAGTAAATTAAAACATTTTAAAAAATACGAATTGTATTATTATTAACTTAATTTAAAAGTCCCCTGGTGGTTCAAAGGTTACCTCGAGAGCTAATAATGTTAAAATTCCTTGTGCAGCTTTGACAAAAGTAAATTTAAATATACAGAAATGCACACCAAATGTCTTGTATTAAAAATACTTCTTCATGAATAAGAGACAATTGCAAAAGTAACTCGTAAAAACGGGAAATAGCGAAAATGGTTTGTTTGTTTTGAATTTCGCACAAAGCTACACGAGTGCGAGCACGTTTGGTGAGACGGGGATTCGAACCCGCGACCCCTCACATTGTAAGTCGAGCATCTTGACAGCCTGGCCTTGCTGGGCCCAGCGAAAAGCGGAACAAAAAATTAAATATCAACAATAAGTGAAAAGATGCAAGTAGAATAAAACAAAAAATAAAAGTTGGGTTTCTGCAAACAAGTTCAAGAAAGGAAAATAAGACCCTAAATACGTCAGAGTAGCAAAGACATTCCAAATGAACATTTAATCTTAAAATGAAACGATTCCCAGTGTAAAACAAAACATGTTTTTTTGCAGGTATTGACGTTTATTTGCTATTAATAGTGTTTTTATAACAAAATTTGCAATATTTACGTAAATATTTCTTAGCGGGAGAATAATTAATTTACTTCGTAAGAAACTAATGGAAAAATATACATTCGTGGAATATTGAAAAAAAAGTTTAAAAACAAGAATGTTTTAAATTGAAATGTTATAGCTACTTGTAAAGTATTCTGTGAAGGAATTAATACAATTTATTTTTACACTTGTTGATATGCAGCAGTTCAGTATTCACTGAATACCACACAAACATTTATTGTTATAAAGAATCACACTTTATTATCAAAAGCTAAACATCGCTAGTAAAGAAAACTACAATTTGAATAAGAGTCATAATTGCACAGAAAAAAGTGAAGCGCTATGAAATAGGGAAAACTTTTTGAAGCTTGATTCAAAGCAGACATTTGTACTTATAAAAATTATAAAAATGCAAGCATGTAAAACATTTTTTTTGTGTTGAGTCCAAAACTACAAAATGGGCTATCTGTGCTACCCCCGCAGCGGGTATCGAATCCCAATTTTTAACGTTATAAGCCAACACACTACACTTACTGCTAAGCCGCCGGTGAGCCCTTACTAAATTATCCAGAAAGTTTTAAACTATATATTCTTAAACGACACACGTTTTTTAATGCAATTTATTCATTACTGAAGCAATAAAATTATGTATACTGATCACATACACTTGGTGATTATTCAGGTATAAGGCTTAGCGCTAAAGATAAATAAGGCTATTTAAAATTCAAAGCTTTATGAGCTTTTATTGCTAAATAGAATAGAATTAAGAAGAGCAACTGCATGAACTCCTGCTACTACATATTCATTATTTTTCCGACAAAAAGCAGCATTAGTAGTGAAAGATAAATACCATCAACATGAATAATGATAAGCTAAGCAAGGAATTTCCCCACGTTCGAGCTAAATGCTCAATAAGTCAATTAAGAAAGACACAAGGGAATGTCTTCCTTTATATATTTTGATAATTTTCATAATGGAGGATCTTTAACGTCAGTGTTTATAAGAATTCGCACTGCTTAGTATTTGTAAGCTACGTTATTTGTATCGAGGGAAAATGTTAAAGTTTTTTGTTTTTTATTAAGACAGTTATATTGTCAAAAACTTAACTTTAATTTCATAACCTATAATAAACCACTTTATATAATAATCACATTTATATTTTAACGCCACCGAATATCCTTTCTGTTCTTTTAGACAACGATAAGGTTTTAAACTAAAGTTGATTAAAGCAAATGAAGCTTACATGTAAAAAAAAATAATAGTTCGAAAGAAAACTTTTAAAAACCAGGGGTAGGGAAATATTTGCTTCGAAAAATCATTAGACCATGTTTGAGTAGATTTAATCAATGAAAAATACAACATTCGCTATCAGAACCAAGGTTTTCAAGCTTAGGTTCAAACGAGAAGTCTATTAGCAAAAACAGATCCCTTTCTCTATAACGAAGGAAGTTAGAATTTTTGCAAGAGAAGACATGCTATCAGATAAGTAATTTCCAAGTTAAACAACTGAAGTCCAACTTAATTATTAGTTAGAGCGAGGGAAGACATGTAATCAAATAAATTATTTTATAGAGTAAGGGAAGACGTGTTATAAGTAAAGTATTTTCAGATTTAAACAACTGATCTTAAACTTGGTGTTAATGTTGATTAACAGGTTTTATTGTTAGCTTTACTTAACGAAATATCACAACAGTGTTTTATTTGAGCAAGATTCTATAAAAAGTAGTTTTTATTGAATCTTCCTAGCAATACAAAGGCAGAAAGATAAATATTTGGTTCGGAAGCTGTAAGTTATTTTGCTATGGAGGAAAAGGTTAAATAAGCTCATAAACTATGTTGTTATAAAAGTTCTCTTATATTTGATACCTTACAGTTTAATTTGTTTGATTACGTGCTTATACAGCCGAAATGTGCTCAAGCAAGACTTCAATAATTTTCTCAAGCTTAACTTGATAAGATAAACAATGAAACGCTTGAAAGATTTGTTGGTAAGAAGTCTGAGCGAAGAAACAATGGCGAGATTGAGAGTTAAAAGAACCATATAAAAAACTAAAAACATATCAGAGTATATAAAAAATGAAGGTGCGTGCATAGCACGCTACTGATCTAGTTTCACTGCCTTTCTATCATTCCTTCTGTGACAAACGTTAAATTGAAACATATTTTTGCTAACTAATAAATATCGTAGGAACTCGTGTATCCACATGTCGTGAATTTTAAACCTTCTACAAAACAATGTCAAATATATATCTACACAACAGAGATTTATTTCGTACAACTATTCCCTAACTTAACCTGATTACAGACGTGTTATTTTAGTATAACATAAAGATCAGTAAATGTGTCACGACAGAAACATCAACCTGATCGTATAAAAATGTTTAAATAATTATAGCATTTTTCTAAACGTTTTCGAAAATTTTATTCTTCCATGCCTTTCAGAAAATGTATCTTTTTTTTTTCGTTTTCCGAGTTTTCCTTTGTTTGTTTTGAATTTCGCGCAAAGCTACACGAGGGCTATCTACGCTAGCCGTCCCTAATTTAGCAGTGTAATACTAGAGGGAAGGCAGCAAGTCATCACCACCCACCGTCAACTTTTGGGCTACTCTTTTACCAACGAATAGTGGAATTGACCGTCACATTATAACGCCCCTACGGCTGAAAGGGCGAGCATGTTAAGTGTGACGAGGATTCGAACCCGCGACCTTCAGATTGCAAGTCGAGTGCCTTAACCACCTGGCCATGCCGGGCCTACCCAAGATGTCAAGGAAAATAATTTTTAAGAGATTAATATTTGCTGGTTAGATTACGTGCATTATCTTGGTATATTTAATCAGTTTAACAAAATGGACTCTTCATCATTTAAGCAAACATATTAATTATTGTGATGTATAAATACGTTATTAATTCTTGTGAGGTATAAATACTTTATGAACCTCAACATCAATAGTTCATTAGATGCTTATAGCTTTAATAACGTCTTCACCACTTGGGAGGCTGAAATAACTACTTCAGGGTGTAAGTTTTACTTATCCCCCCAATGGTTTGTGTGAACAACCTTCTGGCTTCATTTCTTTCCCTTTGTTTTCATTTTTTCTCAATTGCCATTTTCCTACAACTACTGCAGGCTGTGAAAGATGGTGTAGATGTGAGAAATTGTGGGTTCAGATAAACCTGAAGGATTAAAATGATTAGTTTTTTATCCCGTTGTAGACAGAGCACGGATAACTCATTGTGTAGTTTTGTATTTAACTACAAACAAAAATAAAATTCCCCACCGTATATCTTATAGCTTGGTGTTATTTTCCTTAATGTTGTCCTTCCTACTGTTGGCGTAGTTCACACACACATGTATGCATATGGATAAATAAAATGCACACACACACACACATGCATATGGATAAATGCAATGCACACACACACACACATGCATATGGGTATATGCAATGCACACACACACACACACATATAAGTAATGAACTCAAATACTTAGTACTAAAACTAAATAATGTATTTAAAGATATTGCTCATTATTCACTATTATTCTCAACAGAAACAACATAAAGTTAAAATGTTGTTACTTCCTAAGGTCTAGACTTGACAAAATCATATATCAGACTAAATCTAGAATTAAGAAAAGAAAAGAAGACTTTATGGAATCTGTTGTGGTTGCATTCATTTGGAGTTTTGAGACAGACCGATTTTTATTTTTATTTTTTTTTTAATTCAGCCATTTACTGTTGACTATTTCAGCCTGAAAACCGAAATACCGTCTTCCCTTATGCTGCAACGCTTATGATGCAGGCGTTGCAGTCTATTGTCGCTAAAAGAGACTTCTTTGGTTAAATTTAGTTTACAAAAAACAACAACATGAGAATGAGAAAAATTCACGCAACTTCGAGAACAGTAACATATTACCTTCAGAGCTGTCAGAACAGTGATGAAGGTCAAGAAACTTACTTAACACCAAGGGTTAAAAAAACAACAACAAAATAACGCTTCTCTTCTAGTCAGGATAAAGAGACCCAAGCTACGCAGTTAAAGCAAACATTACTACAGCATTGCAAACATTCATGTAACTGGTAAAAGCGATCGCGTTTTAATTTTGTTCTTCGAGAAACGATTGATTTCGAAATTGCCACAAGAGTCAGCGTAAGAATCATAGTCACGCTCTTGTGAACACAAGGCAATAAAAGTTCAAAAAATGAATAACGCCTTCGGAATATTTTTCATAAATTTGTTACAGATATTGAAAGGTATACCATGAGAGACTGTTTAAATTATTATTTATAGGTTATCTTTGTGAGAGGTATAGTAAAGACTACTGCATATTTCCTTACCCGTATTTAATGATTCCTTATTTCGAGCGACGAAATGAATCTTGTGGTTCTATGATATGGATCGGTTGAGAGTCACTAGGTGGATTGCTTGTCTGTCTTCTTGCTTGAACGCTGGTTAATACAGTTGGAAGAAAAGTGCCTGGTAGTGTACTCACCTCTTTCATTCGGCGCAACAAGCACATTTCACTTTACGTCATCATGATGTCATTAGTTTTCCGACATATCATTGGTAGTTCCATTGATATCAAGTTAAATTTTGATATTTGTTTGGAGTTTCAGAGCTGTTAAATGTCGCATTTAGCTAAATTATTGTAAAATACAATTAATAATCCCTCATTTATTTTATGAAAATATTCTATAAAGAAAGAGACGATGCGCAAAAGACGTGTAATTTCTTAAATCTAGAACCATATAAAAACAAAGGCTGAATTTATGTTAACTACGTATTAAAAACACTGGTTTCCATTATTATAACCATTTATAAAAACAGTGTTTAACATTATAGTGATCACTTATTAAAAACACTGACTTACATTCTGATAAATACATATATAGATTAACATTATGATAACCACTTATCAAAAACACTGGTTTGCATTATGATAATCATTTATAAAACTGAGGGACGAAATGAATCGTGTGGTTCTATGATATGGATCGGTTTAGAGTCACTAGGTGGATTGCTTGTCTGTCTTATTGTCTATGACTAACAGTATGGTAACCATTTATTAAAAACACTGGTTTGCATTATGATAACCATTTATAAAAAAACTATGAATAACATTATGGTAACCACTTATTAAAAACACTGGATTGCATTATGATAATCATGTAGAAAAATGTATTAATTATATAGTGATAACCACTTGTTAAAAACACAGATTTCCATTACGATAACCGTTTATAAAAGCAATGATTAACATTATGGTAATCACTTATTAAAAATACTGCTTTATATTAAGATAACTATTTATGGATTAACATCATGATAACCACTTATTAAAAACACTAGTTTGCTTTATGATAACTATTTATGGATTAACGTTGTTAGCCACTTATTAAAAAACTGGATTACATTAATATAACTATATATATAGGTTAACATTATGGTACCACTTATTAAAAACACTGGTTTGCATTATGATAATCATTTAAAAATGTATTAATAACATTGTGATAACCACTTATTAAAAACATATACTAAACTAATAATGCAAAACAAGCTCTATGATAATAAGAAATACTAAAATATGGTAGACATTCTAACAAGTACTGTTAATGAAGACTTGTAACAAGTATTAATTATACTGTACTTAATAAGTTTTGAATATTAAATATTGTGGTAAAAACTTATTTTAAATATTCGAATGTGTCCGTTTTATTGAAAAATTTGAACTTGAATGTTTGATTAACGATGTTGATATCTAAATTCAGGATGTGTTTTTTTATTTTTAGTTAAAGAGCCTATTTCGAGAATGAATTCTTGTGCATAAATTTGTTCGGGTGTGTCAACAAAAACAATGATAATTAGGTGTAAGAGTGCCATCAATACAAGTACAACGTACATACAAATATATATCCTCATTTGTAAAATATGCCATATTTATATATAATTCTGCAAGTTGTATATATTGCATATATGTATACAATTCTGCAACTTGTGAGCTGATGTTACCAACCATTGGAATTAGCTGGAAGACATGTTGGCCAAACTGCAGAAATATGTTGAAAGGTAAAGAAATACAAAACTTGTAAGAATTAACCTAATATAATGTAATGTTAATATTTAGTATAGAAATTTCCATTTATCAACGCAAAGCATTAATTTATCATAATTATGAAAGGATGTTGAAATTGAATGAAGACTCTTCTTTAATTTCATCAAAACAAAGAGCACAGTAAACGTATGGTCTTTTAAAATCAAGTATTTCTGTATCTTATCTGTAAAACATTTAATTGTTTATTCGTGCAGTGAATTATTGAATACCGGTTCTATATCTTAGTAACATTACAGTACTTGTTCAATGGTTTTCTTATGTACTTTAGGCCATTACCTATTACAATTAACACACATCTTTAGCCATAGCCTTCTTGGCGCCAGAAATTTACCTGTATTTGTATGGTGTTTTACGTAGTTTGGGAATCCAAGATTATAAAGTTATTACGTTATAAGAGTTAACACAATGTACTCCAAAGTCTGATAGAACTGTAATGCGTATCTTTTTGCCAGTTTTAACATGTTTAACATTCCCTGAAGGTTTAAGTGCTTTTAAGTTAAACCTAAATTATTTTCATGAGGCTATAATATAATTCATTTTGTAAATGAAAACAAAGCTATTAAATGTTTTACCGGCAGTGGTGATGACATACTGCTGTGTAAGGAATCCCAAGTACTCGATAACTTCTTTATTGCTCATAACATGTTCATAGCTGTTATTAGTGCCATTTTGTAAGCATATGATTTATGGATTTCGTCTGTAACTCTACCAATTTCATAAATCAGATTACTTTTAAGTTTCCTTCTTTACTAGATTTAAGTAGAACTTTGTTGAGCGATTTATTAATTACTTGTTTAGAGCGTTTCTAATCAATTACTCGCAAATCTTCATTAGCTATGACGTCAAGGTTACCGGTGATTACGTGGCCAATGGGAGAATAAATGTAAGGAGATAAATTACATTCGCAGCCAGAGAGTAAAATGTCGTGTAACTGCTTAATGGTAATATTGGAACACTATGGTGTAGTGACCACCATTAGTTTTACTTTCCGTCAGTTTAAACTCTTACTATACATAGTTCAGACAAGCTCTATAACAATTCCATACGAAGTATAACATTACATCATTAGTAAAGTTACACTGGTTATTTCTAGTATTAACTGTATTTATAGCTTACTTTTGTAAGCCTTATTACCGTTATTGTTCTTTATCAAATCTTACCACCTTTAATGTTGGGCTGTTTAACTTTATTTATTGTTTTCTGTGTTTTGTTAAGTGATAGATGTTAAAATGTTCGGTTAGACGCACTTCATCATATGTTTAAAATGTTGTTTTCTTTGTACTACATTTAGCATTGTTATATTTCCATTAAGAATCTATATTTTGTATTTTCATAAACATTAATTACACACGCCTGCAATGGTTTTATTGTCTTGAAATGTTTACATGTTCTACAGTAATTCCTGTACGCTAAATCAGAAAATGATATCCATTTTTCACCATCGCGTACAGATTTTTCACAAAATGTCATAAAGCAATACATAAAAGAAAGACCACAACACACAAAAATCAGGATGAATGAGGATGCATATTCGTTTTACATCAATGTTCTTCCCTTTTCTTTATTTTTTTGTTTTTTTTCTTAACAAACATAATAATAAAAAAATGTTCATTTTGGTAAACGAAGTAATTCTTTGTTCTAAGTAAGAGTTTATTTTTCTTCCCGATTTGTAAAAAAACCTTACGTGATAGAAAAAAATGAATATTATTTTCGAAATCTGCGTAGCTTTATTATGGAGAATCCGTTATTTAAGCCCAGACAATTTTTATGAACTTTAAATTCGAAGTCCTATGTTATTCTTGCTGTGCTGCTACTCGACTTAACGGCTAAAAAGTAACATAGCAATTTATATCAGATGTCAAAATCCTCTAAAGGTACACGGCTGAAACCATCTAATAGATTTTCATTGGCCACAATACATTGTCATGGGGGATCGTATAAAGTTTGGCTTATATACTGTTATAATGATTCTAAGTCATTCAACAAAAATTACACATCCGACAGCACTGAAAGCCAACAACTGCTATTCATGTATTCCTGAAGCAATTAATATTAACTTCCGATCAGAGTAAGCTACCTATTTAAGTCAAATATAAAAATTAAAACCAACCTGGTAATAAGTATAGCTCATTAAATATAAGTTTCTAACGTTCTTACTTATAAAGATTAGAATGTATATTGTTTCATCATTTGTGTATCCTAACTGACAACGACATTTTTGGCCATAAACCTAATAATATCTCAAGAGGTTCGACCACCTTAGAAGACTTAGATTAGTCCTCAATGCATATACTAAGCTAATAATGCAATATCTTCTCTATAATAAAACTATTATAATAAAAACAATACTAAATACATTGCTATTCTAATCAATGCTGTTAATTAAAGTAAACTTACAGGAAGAATAGAGTGTACCTTACTTGTATGTATTGTTGCTGTGAAGTTAGAATTAGAGCTCTCTCAATAATATACGCGCTGAGAAGTATTGTTGTTTCGTGTAATATTAGAATTGGAGCTATATCAATAATATACTTGCTAAGAAGTGTTGTTGTTTCATGGAATGTTAAAATTGGAGCAGTATTGATAACATAGGAGCTGAGAGGTGTTGTTGTTTCATGTGATATTAAAATTGGAACTGTATCAATAATATACTTGCTAAGAAGTGTTGTTGTTGTTTCATGGAAGGCTAAAATTGGAACTGTATCAATAATATACCTGCTAAGAAGTGCTGTTGTTGTTTCATGGAATGCTAAAATTGGAGCTGTGTTTCTGAAAGTTTTAAGTACCTGACTTTTATGTATCCTAATGATGTGTAGTATCCAATAATTTAAATGTTTTTAAACCTCATATTTCCAGAAAGCTCTTAACCTTAGAGTATTTATACACTAAAATGCTCGTGAGTCTCTGACTTTATTAGTTACAGAGTCCCTAATAACACATAAGAATCACAAAACAATTATGAAAAAAATACCGTCAATACTGCAATTAAACCCTTAAATACTATTATAGTTTCCTATGTATTTTACGTAGGAAATGAATAATTCAGTAAACATATTTGCTCAGTTCTTTGCACTGAATGTAATAACAGGCAAAACAAAGTTCCTAAATATGAACCCCATCTGTAGTGAACCGTACTTAAACAAGGCGATAATTTCAGGCTTAAAAAGAAATAAAGAGCTAAAACACAATGATATGCTCTCCCAGTTTTTCTACTATTTAAGTAAAATTAAACGATATTTTATATGAAAAGCACAATTAGTAAAGGATAAATTGGAAAGTTTCCAAATACTGTTAAGAAAATAATATTTTAAAGGTTTTTTAATTTA